CATGTAGGTTGTTTCCATCTTTTTGCTATTTTAAATAGTGCTGCGATGAACATGGGTGTGCATATATCTATTCCTGTCCTGGCTCTCACCTCTCTCGGATATATACCTAGTAATGTGATTGCTGGGTCAAATGGTATGTCCAATTCCAGCTTTCTAAGGAGTTGCCATACTACTTTCCACAGTGGTTGTATCACTTCTCAGTCCCACCAGCAGTGTATGAGAGTCCCAATCTGTCCTTATCCCTGCCAGCATTTGTTATTTTCTGTCTCATTGAACCTTGCCATCAGTGCTGGAGTGGGATGGTATATCATTTTTGCTTTGATTTTTATCTCTCTGATGGCCAATGATCGTGAGCATCTCTTCATATATTAGCTGGCCACCTGAATATCCTCTTTGGTGAAGTGTCTATTCATGTCTTCTGCCCATTTTTCAATTGGGTTGTTAATTCCTTTGCTATTGAGACATTGGAGTTTTCTATGAATCTTAGAGATAAGTCCCTTGAGATATGTAATTATCAGCAAATATGAATTTGTTGCTGTCATTTATGTATGTGCTTTTATGTCATGTCAATTTCTTTGTTCCACATAATTTTCTATGCTGAACTCATTTTGTTTATGAATCATGTTATCACTTTTTTTGTCACTATTGTTTTAGTATTTGCTAAATATTTGTGCTGGTCATCTTTTTTATTTTGATATGAAGGTTTATCATTTTTCTTTGAGGTTTCCCTGTGATTTATAGTTTTCTTCCCAAGTTTAGAACAGTCCATTCTGTCTTGTAGTTATCTTGACTTCCCTGCCATCTAGAAGTTCTGTAACTACACAGTTTTTTTTCCCTCTTTTTAGTTTGTAGTTGCCCTCATTAATCAATTGATGTATCTGGTTCCCTGTTTACAATCTTGTAGGCTTACTTACTTTGGATACTTCCGTAGCTGGATTGGTTTCTGGGTTATGTCATCATGTGTGTTAATGGTCAGATGTTGTTGGCTGTTTTTGCTTCTCTGTCCAAAGGGCTCCCTTTTGTATCTCTTGTAAGGTTGGTCTGGTTTTAACAAATTCCCTTAATTTCTGCTTATCTGGAAATGTCCTAATTTCACCATCATATTTGAGGGACAGTTTTGCTGGGTACATAATTCTTGGTTGGAAACTTTTGTCTTTCAGGATTTTCTATATACCATCCCATTGTCTTTTTGCCTGCATGGTTTCTGCCAAGAAATCCAAGCTTAGTCTTATTTGTTGTGCCTTGTAGGTAACTTTTCATTTTTCTTGTGCTGCTCTCATGGTTCTTTCTTTGTCTTTGGTTTTGGTGAGTTTGATGATGATATGTCTTGTTGATTTTCTTTTGGGGTCTATCCTGTTTGGGGCTTTTGGACTTCCTGAATGGGTATACTCTCATCTTTCATCATTATCAGGAAAATTCTCTCCCAACAAATATTTGACACTTTTCTCTGTTTTTTTTTTTTTTTTTTCCTGTTCTGGAATTCTGATTACATGTAGATTATTCCTTTTGATGGTATTCCACATGAACCTTAGGCTTTCTTCATTTTGTTTTGATCTTTTT